CTCGGACGCCCACAGAGGCCGTTCCACTCTGTCCTGTGGGCCGCCGTGGCCCTGGCTTCCGGGCAGAGAAGGCGCAAAGTGTTTGCCTTGATGTACCAGCCGCTGGGCGGTGTGGGGAGTGGACGTGAGTTGGAGAGGAACGCAGCAGAGATCTCAGTCAAGGAGTGGGTGGTGGGGATTCAGACATGCACTCGGCACCAGGGCCACCGTATGGTCCAACGACGCGTAACACACGCACATCCACAGAGGTGGGTGTGCCTGCATATCACTCCTCTGCTGACACGCCTTCTCCATGCCCCCACACACTCCACGCTCCCCTCAGCAGTGCTGGGCGCCCCCCTGGGCCCACACCCACTGCACGAAGCTGACGCACGCACTGAGAGTGTGTCCAGACAGCCCGCTCGGCCACGGGCCATTGGCCCCAGCTGAGCCAGACGCTGGAGTTAACATGCACACAGACGGACACTACTGTCCACCTGGCCTGGGCGCAGGAGGAGAAGGTGGCTTGTCTTTGAGAGCAACGCCCCTGCCTGGCGCGATGGGTCGCTGGGTCCTGACATGCGTGTGGCCCCTGCCTGGGTCCTGACATGCATGTGGCCAGCAGCTTTTCAGAGCGCACCCTCGCAGGGTGAACCGTCGTGAAGCCCGCCGTCCTCAGGGGCCCGGGGGAGCAGTGGCTACAAGAGGGGCTGCGGACTGCAGGGCCGGCGGTTCGAGACCACCTGCTCTGAGGAAGGAAGGGAGCCTCCGGACTCATCGCAGAGGGAGTTATAGTTTCAGAAACCCCCAGGGCCAGTCCTCAGTCCTCCCCAGTGCTCTGGGGACGGCTGGGTGGCAGGGAGCCTGCCTTCTGGCCGGTAGCCCTCGGCCAGTTAGAGGGACGTCTTAGGAGGCACACGTGCATGGTCTGAGAAAACATTTACCAGAATCCCCCCCCCACCACCACCACCAAGAAGTGCCGGCTGGAAGCAGCACGGCTGTCACAGGGCATTGCCGAGCTGCGGCACAGAACAAAGGCTGCTTCTCTCCCCGGGGAGGAGGCACCGTGCAGCTTCTAGACGTAGCCACAAGGACAGTCTCTGTTCTCTGGCCATCCGCTGGCCGTCAGGAAGAGGCTGAGACCCCACACCAGCCGCAGCCCCCGCCCGAAGCCCAAACCAATACCCACCTAACCCCAAGGTCCCCCCTCCCCAGACACAGACAACACACACACACACACACACACACACACACACACACACACACACACGGTTCAGCCAAAAATGGTGGCCAAGACAGAGCCCTCTTCCTTCACTCTCACCGGACCTCCTGCAAGCAGCAGTCAAGTGGCCACAGGACGCATCGCACTGGTCAGCCTGCTGCACAAGACCTCTTGAAAGTGTTGGAAGGCAAGGGTGTTGCTGTCAGCATGCAGGTGTGAGCGCCTGGCCCAAGCCATGGCTGTCCGTGGCGTCCTGTGCCCGGGAAAGTGGGGCACTGATGCAGGGAGAGCGCGGAGGGAGAACCCACACATTTGGACTGGAGAACACGGAGCGTCCCGTGATCTGGCACGAGCCCAGGTGGGTCTGTCTCGGGGAAGGACGGCCAGCGCGGGCCTTAGAGGCAAGGACGGAGAGACCCCTCTCACGTACCTGGGGCCTGTCGACAGGAGAGCCCGGTCCCTGGACAAGGACGTCACGCTTGGTCCAGCGGAGGGGCAGGGACAGGGAGGCAGGCCCTGGGGCAGCTGCCGCCGCAGGCTCAGGGCAATGGCGAAGACGGCGCAGGACGGGGCCTGGCTGGCTCTGCTCTGCTTGGCTCACTGTGCGTGACTCGGCAGCACCGGCGTGGACAATGCTCACGCAGGTCTCCCGTGGCTGCTGGCACAGCGGGGTCCACAGGAGCACAGCAGCCCCACCCAGGCCCTGACCCTACGCTTGTGCCAACCTCCCTTCCTTCATGTGAGATGGCGGCCAACACGGGACCCTCACGCCATGCTCCATGCCGAGCCGCCATTCTGTTGATAGAAGAGCGTGGTCCAGACACCGCCCCACCCGGCCCATTCTGCTCCTGACCGTCCTGCTGCCCAGGTAGCAGGATGGGGGCCAGCACAGGGCCACTCACCCTACCTTCATCCTATGCCACCTTTTGCTAGTACAGTGGTGGCCAAGGTATCCCCCCTCCAAAACACTGTCACCCGGAACCTTCTCCCCCAGTCAGGGCATGGCCCCCAGCTTCGGGGAGGCCCTGGGTGCATCTCTCCCTCTGAGTGGGCATGGCCTGAATCGACTGCTGCCACCTGTGAGCCTGGGCTTCGAGAACGGAGGTGGCACTGTCATCCCCACGCCCCACCCCTTTACTTGGGCACAGGGGAGGCCAGCCTGCGGTGAAGGCCCCGATGCTGTCTGGCCACGGGAGACGGAACAGCTGGGGAGCCTGCATGGGCTCGCAGTGAGCCTGCACGGAGGTGAGCACCCACACATTCGGGGTCTCTGTGCTCCGGCATTCCATTGTCTCAGCTGCGGCAAAGGCCGGTGTCTAAGCGTGGCTCCCGTCGGGGCTCAGCATGGTTTCCGGACGTTGGTGCACGTGGCACGCTCCCCATCTCTTGGTGGCCGAAGGCCAAGTGCAGGCTTAGGCTTCAAGAGTACCCACGAGATCCGTCTTTGCTGCGGGGAGAACGTGGGCATGGTCCCGTGGCTCTGCCGGCCGACTGCTCTCCATGAAGGCCCACCTGACTCCGACTGCCTGCTCATCCCTGGCCACGCTGGCGAAACCGGCTCCTGCCTGGGTTGCAGCTGGAAGCCCCTGGGGATGCCTGCTGGTTTGCTGCCGGCGGCGGCGGTGGCAGCGGCGCCCTGAGGACTGTGTGGCTGTGCAGCCC